CCCCAAAACCCCAAAACCCCAAAACCCCATTTACAAATAATTAGGCTTTTTTTGGAAAATTCAAAAAATTCAAATATAAATAATAATTAGATATATATTGTCGCTACATAAAATGGTATTTGGAAAATCTTACTAAGTCGTCTTGAGAAGAATCTAAACTTCAAGAAAATTGAAATAATTTAGTAATAAGCTTGTATAGGTCAGAATATTCAGCACATTATCAAACCAAGATAATATTTAGAAAAACTTAAATCAAGATAACAATGAAAGTTTGATATTCTCAAGTTAAGATCACATCTACAATTAAAATACATCTCAGGTAGATAAATTTCTCAAGATAATACTAATATCTAATTTCCCTTTAGATTAAAGAAGAAGTTAAGAAAAATCAGGAAAGGGATAAAGTTGCAAAGCAATTAGATGTTCACAAGAATTCATAGCCTGACAGGCAAAGCCTTAGGACCATTGATACTTTACCTCGGTTATAATTGAATAATTAAAGGATCAGCAAAGTCCAGTTCGGTAAGTAATTATAAAATAAAAATCAATTGGATATAGAGTAATTTCACGAGTCTTTGCAGTAAGAACTAGATGCGGTGAAGGAAAATTAATTAAGTTTCCCTATAAGATAGCATGATTTTTAAAATATGGGAGTTTACCTTAAGTACTATTTTAATAATTATGGGGATTCTTTCTAAGTTAATACAGATTACAACGCACTCAGAACTAGATAATTTGAGAATTAGGTTATAAGATACTTCGGTGAATTGTATAATGTCCCGTAAGAATGCGATTTATGGGGTTATATGCCTTCAGGGTAAACAGAGAGTAATTTCCAAGCAGTTTATTTTGCCAGAGAGTATTTCAGAAATCATAAAAATGTGGCAGTTATTTATACAGATAAGACTGATGAATCTATAAATGAGGCCATTTACTATCTTAAGTTGAACACATTCGGCCATGTTGCGAGATCATTAAATCTTGAGCCCCCAGCAGGAATGAAAGAGTGGAATGACAAGGTTCCTCATAATTCGGCCGGATAAATGGAAACTGAGTCGCTTAAAGCAATCTTAAAGCCTCTTGCAGAGTAAAAAATTCCAGTTTTAATAATTGCTAATGTTGGCACGACTTCATGTTGCTCCTATGACAGTACTACTGCAATTATCAATGCATTGAAAACTTATGAGTTTTACAATGACCCGAAAAATCACTGGGTTCATGTTGATGATGCGTGGTGCGGTCCATATCTAAGATTTCTTGAAATAGCATCAACAACCTCAGGGTATAATTTCTTGCCTATAAAGACAATCAATGAGGCCAAATTCGATTTTTCATTAAAAGAAGTGAAAAGTATCACAACTTGCATTCATAAATGGATTCCTTGTCCATTTCCATCATCAGTACTAATAATTAAGGACAAGTAATTAATGCCTAAGGATCATTTGTAGAATACTTATATAAGAGGTTAAGATAATCTTTTATATACATCAAGAAGTGGGCATATTCCCCTTTTAACTTGGGATTATTTAATGAAAAAAACATTGAATGATCATATAGATGATGCAGTTTCTGCATATAATATGGCTAATTATGTTTACTAAGAGCTTATAGAACTCCAAAATGAGTTAAATATAGATCTAAAAGTTTAAAAGACATAAGTAGGATTAAATATAGGATTTAAGAAACCTAGTGATGATATTTGTTACAAATACGGATTAATGGTGATGGGAGATGAGGCTCATATATTTATTATGCCGGATAAGACGAAGCAGCTATGTGATATGTTTTTGGATGACTTAAGGAATGAGATGAGACTAAGAAAGTGATTTTGTCTAAAATACACAGCACAACTTAGCCTTGCTAACAATGATAATTGAGAATATTTTGGCTTTTTAAAGTTCAAGTTTTCTTTAATAAAGTTTTTAATAATATTTAATTTCAGTTATTAGATATTCTTTACTATTAAATGTGCATGGGGTTTTGGGGTTTTGGGGTTTTGGGG